ACAACACATATAGAGATTTTAAGCAGCAGCATTATTGTCCGTCACGTGTGACTCGACCTCGCTCAATCCCATTCTTCAAATCCCTCTTCTTACCACCGCCACTCGCCACTTTCTTCCCACTCTCATCAACTGACCCTGCAAGCCTCACTACTGACCTCGAACACGAAGAAGAGGAAGTCCACCTGTCGGTCGACTCAGCCGAATTCGGCTCCCAACCAGAAGTTGATGACATCAGCCACTGGCTCCCGCTGACAGCAGCGAAGCTATTACTTCCGGAAGATTCTTCCTCACCTGCTGCAGCATCACCATCCTCTTCCAATGAGCCCCTCCTCACCGTAACATACTTATGAAAGCTCGGCTCCATTAAATCGTCTTTAGCCACAATCTCCGATTCCAAAATCGGGTCCTTAGCCTCTCCAGGCATCGTTTTCTTGAAATTGCTCGAGAGGTTGGAGCCTGTGCTGGAGTTGAGGTCAGCAACAGCCTCGAGAATCGAGCAGGCCTTTGTCACGCAAGGCGGGAGAGAGAAGGCAGGTTGATTATTGTTGTTGTTGTTCTTTTGGTGGAAGTTTTGGATGTCTTCTAGAAGGAGGGCTGTGTAGTTGTTCGGGTTTGTGGGGTTGATGGTGTCTAAGTCACGGGACAGTCGGGAGGATCGAGAACGGATTAAGGGTTGGGGTTTTGGGTTTTCGGGTGTTTCTTGTGCAGTTGGCTCCAAGTTCTTGTTATTTTTGGTCTCGGCTGCTTGGGTTGTTTTGCTGTCGGCATACGGCTTCTGGATTGGAGCCTTCGAGATGCGTAAATTTCATTAGTTATGTAGTTTGGACTTTGGAAATAGTATATGGCATTACAGTAGCAGATAAAATTGTTTAGATGTAGTTACATATATAGCAGGGTGTGAACATGCACAAGAAAGGAAATTGGGAGGAGGATAAGTATAAGAATTAATAAATGAAAATGCATTTCTATGTTCTTGTAATGTGGAAACCTAAAAAATGCAAGTCCAGCTCTGTAACTATCTGATTAGCTATTGGATTTTTCAGATTAATGAGCTCCATTAGCATCAAGACTACACATTTGTGAAGCTACACATGGTTTGATGTCTTACTACCAGTAAAATTCAATTTATTATCAAACTTAGGCAGCATTTCTAAAGAAATTACCTTTTTTTTTNAACCATCGAAAAAAAAAATGACAGAAATTTATTGAATTTATAGCCAAAAAACACAGAATGTACCTGTGGGACAATGTTGGTGTCAATCTCAGCAAGTGGGTTTCTCCTGTACGGTGAATGCTCCTTCCTCGAATTGCTCCGGCTAAGTGACATTATCTGCTGCTGGTTGGGGACAATATTACCATTCTGACCCTCGTTCAGACCCCTCGTCCTCGCCGGAGATCTGGTGCGTGGGGACACATTCCTCTTCACTTGGATCCTTCTAACAGACCCGGACTCGACTCCGGCAGCATCCTGGCTTTTGTCCATAGCCATAGAGGACACTGTGGCGGGTACCGAGACCATCTTCCCTGGCCTCGAACAACCAGAACTGGCGCCGGCGGCAGATGAATTCAGATTCGAATTGGAATTTGCAGCAGATGAGATCGGGGATTCGGATCTCCTTCCCGGAGATCTGCTCACCCGCCGACTTCCGCCCCTTTCCCTGCTGCCGGAGCGCTGCTGCTGGTTCTCCCTCTCTCTGCTCGGAGTCCTCCGCCGCCCATGGGACTGGCGGCGCCGCTCCCCCTGACGGTCTTCCCTCTCCCTGGCCGCCGATTCCCCACCGCCAGCGCCCTCGGCGTCGAAATCGAAGCTCCTCTTCGAGCCCGAGTACCTTCTACCCCCGCCGCCCTCCGACGGAGGAGCGGCGGCGGGCTTACTGGAGGAGGAGCTCCGGCTGAGGCGGCCGCACTGTATGAGGATGGCGTCTACCTCCTCCTTGGTGCAGCTCGACGTCCTCACGGGAGCGGCCCCAACAACGGCGTTCACGTTCCCCGCCACCAAATTAGTGCCCTTATCGACATCGGACTTCGCGTTTTCGCCGTTCTCCTCGTCTGCCGGCGGCCTCTGCCGCTCGATCTCGTGGCTTTTGCGGTGTCTGATGATAAAGATCTCTTTTTTAACCACATTTTCGTCTTCCGTCTTCTTTTTCTCCAAAGGGGGCTCCCATTTTTGGAGGTTTTCTGGAGGTTTTTGCAGTGTGACTTGAGAAGAAGGCAGTGGCGAAGAACAACGAGCACTTTTCTTGCTCAAACAGCTCCCCATTTTTCCTCTTCTTTCCCACTCAAATTGCAGCTTAAGGAAAAAAACAAAAATAGGCAGACTAAACAGATGATAATGAGAGAAGGCCAGTGAAGGAAAATTCAAACAAAAAAAGAAGCAACTATGTGCAGAAGATTTAAAAGGGGCAAAAAGGCAAAAAGAGGGATACACAGTATTCAAGAAAACCACTCAATTAATAATATGAAAATGAAAAGGGTGGGTGATAAAATTTTCAAATTTTAACAGGAAGCAGGGGCAATCAATATAGCCGTTAATTATTAAATTTGTTTTTTTTTTATTTTAATTTTTTTTTTGGGAGATAATTAAAAAGGAAGAAAAAAACATTTATGTCAGAGTACCTACCACTGTTTGAGAATTTAAAAATTAAAAACTTTTATCCCTCACTGATAAGTTCAAAGAGAGAACCAAAGGAATCTTGATCCGTATTTTTTGAATTCTGGATTAACGGTCAGATTAAATGGATTTTCAAATTTGAGGTTAATAATAGTTCAAGTCTGATTTGAGTTTGTTTCGCAAGGAAAATGGAGATTCAAAATAGGGTCAATTGGACTATATTGACCATTTTTAATTTAGTGTAGATTTGTTGAACCTCAACTTGGTTATTGGTTAAGAGTCTTCTATTTTATACAATTAATCTTTAGGAAAAAACTGGTTTTATTTTAGTCATTTTGGATTAGTTGAATTTAGAAGTGAGTTTAAAGATTTTTAAATGATGTTATTTTTCCACTGGCGTTATGCAGTGATTGTGATGACATTTGTGATGGATATGGTATGAAATTCGGTCGAGTATAATGTGAACTTATAGCAATCCCTCCTTTAATATAATTTGAAAACGTGCCGAGTCTAAATGGCTGGCTCACACGTTTCAGAAATTTATTTAGCAACATTACATACTTCAGCTTTTAGTTCGGATAAAAATTAAAATTAGTACAATTATTATATTATATTATTTGCCGTGTATTCTTATATGAATAGGATTCCTTTTGCTTAATCTTTACGGTGTTTTCTTATATAAATATGATTCCTTTTGCTTAATCTTTACGGTGTTTTCTTATATGAATAGGATTCCTTTTAATTAATCATTTTCGTGTTTTTCAATTTCGTTTTCACTTTGATATTTTATTTAATAGAAGTGCTCAATATAATTTGAAAACGTGCTGAGCCTAAATGGCTGGCTCGCACGCTTCGGAAGCTTACTTGGCAACATTACATACTTCAACTTTTGATTCGGATAAAAATTAAAATTAATACAGTTATTATATTATATTCTTTGCCGTGTATTCTTATATGAATAGGACTAGTACGAATCCCCCGTGCGATGTACGGGTAAGAGATATTCGTTAATATTTATAAATTAAAAATTCTCATTAACTAATATTTATAAATTAAAAATATGGAATGAATATGCAATGCAATTTACCTATATTAATTTATTGAAAATGTATAAAATTTAAATTGTAAAATTACATAAAAATGTCTATTTAAAATTAATACACAACCGGTGCGGTGCACATAACTGATAATAAATTACATTATATTCGTTTCAAAATAAGTGTCATTTCAACATTTTTATACAGAAATTCGATTTGACTATAATGTGATTCCCTAAAGCCTAAACCCTAAACTCTAAACCCCACGAGCAACCATACCAAGCCGTGAAAAACGAATATCACCTACAAATGTAACGGTAAAAAAAAAAAAAATCCGACTTTCACTCGAGTTTGAATTTTCTTCTAAAACCCATGCTTCGTAAATTAAATTAACCGAACCAAGAAAGCCATTGTAAACGGCGGACGTTAGCTGCAAACTATACACATTGCTCGAGTTTTTATTTTTGAACGGTTTTTTAGAAATAAAAAAACGATGAAGAACGCGATTAGTAAAAGGGCGTCTAGAAACACGATTAGAGCATTCAGCATTTTTAATGCAAGATGAAGGGTTTGTGAGAAGAGTTATGTTAAAATCACAATTGGATTCTCCACAGAACACTATCCACACGCTCCCCATCAATTCTTTACGCCTTTTCGAGCTCTGAAGTTCAATCACATGAAAACAAATAAAAAGAAACAATTTTTATCAGGTAAATTAATTAATCTTGCAGGAAGTAAACATCAGAGCTGCAATATATAATCCCCACTGGAAGAAACTTGAATATATGAGCTTTAATGTGATCAATAAAAAAACAGAGAATTTCATACAAACTGAACTCATAAGTGAAATAAAGAAGCTAAATTTGATTCTCATTTACAAATAATGAACATAAACCCACATAAGTAACATGTAAGTGAGTATCAAGAAGTGAAAAACTTTGAGACGAATTGCATTTTTTTTAATCCAAGATTCAAACTTTGACAAGAATTGCAAATGGGTCTCAAAAAAAAAAAGTGATGTTGCACACACCTTTCTCAAATTCACATTAATATCCACATGAGATAGCTTCAAAAGCAGTAGTTCAGAAAGCTTACTTTCTTTTTACTAGTTCAGAAAGCTTACTTTCTTTTTACCGAGTCGAAAACTGCCACGTAGTACCTCAGAGAATTGCAGAGCCCGTCCCATCGTGTTCCCCCTCCTGCTCGGCTACAACAACCATGTCAGGACTCGTGCTCGAGATGACGCCCAAGAAGTCCCTCATTGCAGCCGCACTGATTATTGAAATAAAAAAGTGTTCAAGACTGAATTTTTACCGGTTCTACCGTCTGGCGCCGGTGACAAGAACGGTGCTTTTGCTCAAATCCGACATCGCAACCACTTAAATTCACCTAAAGTTTTTAGCATATGCGAAGCACAAACTAACCAAAATTTGGCGAAACGAAAAATATCAATAAAGAAAAGTATCGAAGAACACTGTATTGAAAGCATACGTAAAACACAAGCCAAATATTTACCCAAAAAAATCCACCCGACGGCAGCTCGTCGATACCTCGTGCTTTCTCGAGCACCTTCTCATATGTGAGTACAATTTCTTAGAGTGTTCTAAGAAAGAAAATGTGAGTCGGCTAGGTTTGAGAAGAGGGAGATTATTTGAGAGAAATCATGTCATGTACGAAAAAATCAAACAAAATATATGTGAGCTAGCCATCGGTTTTAATCCTCCGGTACTTACACTGCAGTTTCAATAGTGATTGAAAGTGTCTGTGGAAGTTGCAGGAATTTTGGTCGTCGCTTTTCCGCAATTTGGCTGAAGCCTACCTCCGCCACGATTTCCTCCAGAATCTAGGTTCTGCCCGTCGCATAGCGGCGGCGGCTCTGGGACGACGTGCTGGAGCTGACGGAGGCCGCGAAGGAGAGGGGCACCGACCCACTGATTGGGTCTCGCTCAACAGCACCTTTGTCGTTGGCGTCCATGTTGGCGAAGAAGATCCACGGTTGCCGGAGGGCTTGAGGCTGAGAGACCAGAGGAGGGCGGCGAGCTCGAGCTGGGTGAGGCTACCGTCATGGTCCATGTTGAACCGCTTGAAGATGTCGTGGAGCTGTCGGATCTGTTCCGATTGGAGCGATTTGGCCGAGGAAAATTTTGGGATGAGAAAGAGAGAGATTATCTTCCTTTTTTGTCTCTTTTTCCTGCGCATCTTTTCCTTCAAATTTTGGATTAAAAAAATCAGAAATAAATAAGTCTAAATAAGTTGAAATCAATCAATAAATCTCCAAAAATTTCGAATTGCATGGGCGGGCTTATTCATTTTTTTGCCAAAAATCTTGCTCTAAACTTTAGGCGGGATATTGAAATCTTTTTTTTTGCTGATTTTTTAGTTGATTTTTTCAAACAAATATCATTCACTCTTTATATATTAATATATTCCTTTTGCTTAATCTTTACGGTGTTTTCTTATATGAATAAGATTCCTTTTGCTTAATGTTTGTCGTGTTTTTCAATTTCGTTTCCTTTGATATTTTTTTTATTAATAGAAGTGCTCAAACTGCGTTTCTTCACCTTTTGTGGTCTCAAGTGGGAGACGGGACGCAATGCATTAATTTCCTTCTCATTGAAGATTCTGATGTGGTGGAGTGGAAGGTCGGGAACAACAGCTTCAGATACCTTTGCCGCCTGATTATAAAGCACTACAAATTGCGGGAGTCCCACGGGAACTGTTGCTTCCAAGAATTGATGTAGTTGACTGCAACCCTTCGTTAGTGGCATCAGTAATGGGATTACATAAGGGAAAGGAAGAGTTTGTTCAACTCCACATTTCCTCTTCTTGGAATAAAAAGGGTCCAAATTTTTGCTTTCATTCTGATTCCCCCTTCATCTCAATTATTCATCTTACAAAAATTGAATTTACCATGACAACTGTTTTCAACACAATTGAAGAAATAACATCGGCTAAAGAAGCATGGAAAATCCAAATCAGTGATCTGTTACTTTCTGATTGCGCCTTTTTTCTTGAATATCATTCTTATGCATAAAATTGTTGTCGGTGGATGTGTAATGTACAGTTGTTCTTGCACCAATACAAGCTATGCTAACCGTAGATTGGGTTTAACTGTGAGGAATTTATTTTTACTTATTTATCTAAGCTTCTGAAAGCCTTAATTACTAATCTGAGTAATTTTGGCATGATTATAGAAATTGAGATGATGAAGGAGAGATTTGCGAAGCTCCTACTCGGCGAGGACATGTCTGGAGGGGGTAAAGAGGTTTGTACTGCCCTTGTGAGTGTGTATGGTTCAAACATGACAAGAACCAACCTGATAAGAGTTTCTCAGTTGGGATGTTCTTTACAGACAGGTGAAAAAACAGGGATTTTTTATTTATTTGTTTTTTTTTGTTTATGTTGTGTGAATTTGAGGGATTTTGATTTCTTGGATGAATTGAAAATTTGGTCCTCTTTATTGTTTCAAGATTCAAACTTTTTTCTTTGTTATGTTCAAATTCATTGGTATTTTTGGTGGGCTATGAATGTTGATGATTTTCTTGTTTCTTAGAGATGTATGAAGCTATGTTTTTTATTTTTTCCTTTTATTTCATTATCTTACATTTTTATTTCTTTAAGCTGATCAAGATAGGGCGTCTCAACTTGTAATAGAATCATGTTTCTGATTCAAATGTTAAAGTTCTGAGAGAAATTCTGCTTAATTTACTAAGGATCTGTAGATCTCTTTACAGTTTGATGAGTTGACTGTATCAGCTCATACCACAATCATTGATAATAGAAATATATATTTATAGAAACATGACCTCAAAAAGATTTTTGCTCAATTGGTAATCTGCCTTTTCTTTTCTCCTTGTGTTGTAGTCCTTATTTAGTTAAACAGATGTTTCCTTTCCCTCTTAAAAATCTAAACAATGATCAGTAACTAAAATTTTTCATATAAATCTAAGGTCTCGTAAAGTGAAATTTACTAATATTAAACGAATTTACGCCCAACCTAATCGTAATCAATGCTTTGTTTACTAATATTAATTTACTATTTGCCGTATAGGGTTGAAATTTTTATTCTTTGTGTAAATTTGAAATAATACGAATTTCATTATATTCTTATAGGGTGGAAAAATTCAAGCGACTATTCCGAGATGGTATGAAGATATTATAAAAGAGGGGTCATTTTACATAATGACAAATTTTGAGGTACAAGAGAACAAAGACAAATTTTGAAATACAAGAGAACAAAGGTGATTACAAAACCACCCAACATCAATATATGTTAAAATTTCACGAGTGTACGGCAGTTAAACTCTCCGAATGTCGAGATATCCCTCGCTATATGTTCAATTTCGTAGAATTTAGCGAATTGAGGGGCAACTCTGACTACACGAAATCCTTATATGGTACATACGTAATTTTATTTTAACATCTATTAATTTTTTTACATCCTAATATAATTATAATATATTTACTTTTGTTCTGTGATTTAAACATAGATATCATTGCCGAGGTCATCAAAATTGATGAAGTCGTTAAGTATGAACGAGATGGTTTGTTTTGCAATGACTATTAATAAGAGTCAATGATAGACATTGTCTAACGTTGGATTGTACTTGCCTAATCCTGTATTAAGTCATGATCAACTTTATGTTGCATTATCTAGAGTTAAAAGTAAGAGATGCTTGAAAATTCTGTGTTGTGATAAGATGGAAAAATTGTAAATAAAACTATTAATGTTGTGTACAAAGAAATTTTCAAAATTTGAAATAATATCGACTTTGGTATTTTCTATTTTTGTACTTTTATACGACAACATGTGTTTTTTCTATTATTTTATGTTTTATATTTTTTTTTTAAACAACCCGTGTAGTACACGGGTGTCGTACTAGTTATGAAATTTAATTTAGTATAATATGAGCTTACAGCAATTATGTTTGAGTATGTTTGGATTGTAATTGAATAAGCACAATCTTGTTAAACCGTTTAATGTTGCACCGGTCTTCTAGGATTATTAGTAATCTATTTCGTGCACATGCACGGTGATATGGGATATTGTTAAGATACCTTTCATACTTATTTTATGTAGTTATTTTTGATAATTAGATATTTGATTTAATATTATCTTTTATGTCATGTAATCTTTATATATTTGTTGTATTCACACTTTTTATGGAACCAAAAATTGCTACCCAAAAATTCTATGGAGCCAAAAAATTGCATAGCAAAACTGCACTTCTACCATCAATCAAAATAAAATATTTTTTGAGTAGTACTATTCACCGCCCCCCTATTACTACTTACCGCCTCCTTGGACAATTTTGTCCTTGTCATTTTTTTCCAAAAAGTAAAAAAAAAAA